CCTTGATTGGGATGGAGCAAGGTGTTTTTTACTTTATTTTGGAATTATATTCAGATGGGAAGGAGCTCTGTGGAGGGGTCAGGCATTGTTCTCCCACTCTCACCTGGCCACTGGCTTGTGAAACCACCTCAGGGCATGACTCTTTCACCTCCTTGCCCCCTGGGTTGCTGGCCTAGACTACAAAGGAATTCCTGTTCTGAAATTGCTTACTTCTTATCCAGCAAGGAATGTGACCAGGGCTGGCTGCATTGTTTGCAGGGTCCAGTCAAAAAGGCCATGGGGAAGAGGGGGTTGGGCTTGTTGAAAAACTTAAAATTTCAACAAGGCATTACCAGAACATTCAAATAAGCAACTGCAAAGGTCACTTGCCAGAAAGCCAGCCCTAACGTGTTTTCTTCACTTCCCAAAGCTCTTTCTCCTGTAGAGTTGTTTCTTGCAGAATGCAGGAAGCATTTGGTGCTGTCGTGGGTATTTCTCTGACTTTTCACCTTAGGACAGATGGATGGATGGGTGATTGGTCTCAACTATTAATTCATTTGTTCAACAATATATGGATTCCTATCAGGTAATGGTTGCTGGGACACTTGCTGGATTCATGGGACTTGGAAGCCTCTGCTGCCATTCTCACAGTAGGATTCCAAGAGTGACAGTTTTTTCTTAGCTGAGACATAGTTAAAGGCAGATCTAGAGGGTCATATCTGTTTTTCTAGCCTTGGGCTCCAGCACTGGGCATAGTGGGTAGTAGGCCCCTGTAAATATTGATTGACTATTAGATCAACCAATCAGTTAATCAAATGAAGTCATTACATGGCTGTTATAGCTGTTGGAAGCAAAAGAAAATCTGAAGGCAATGCTAGATTGTAATTTATGCAAGACAATAATAAATATGTAAATGGAATATAATTTTTAATCATAATTCAACCCATTCTCCCCCATGGAACAAAATCTTTATAAATCAAACCCTCTTTGGACCTTTATTTATTTTAGCTTCCATTGTTCTTGCTTCAGTGGGAAATACTCAGGGCTCCTGAAGATCATCCCAGAGGCAGGAGCCCTCTCCTGGGGACCATCCAGCTGAGCTCAATTCTTTAAGAGAGAAGCCAGGCCAAGGGCTTCCATAAATAACCACAGAGCTTTGTTCCCTGACTTCTAATCCAAACAGCAGGGGGCACAGTCAAATGGCTTGTGCCCAAATCCTAGCTCTGCTTCTTTCCAGCTATGTGGCCCTGGGCAACTCCTTTGATGTCTCTGGAATAAGCTGTGCCCTCTGGAAAATGAGGGGTTAAATGGGTTAATGTGCAAAAACTAGGCTAGAGCGGAAGTCATTCCTAATGTTAGTTAGTAGTGTCTGCATTTCATGGCAGAGGTTTTCAATTTCTGTTTCTTAAATGATCTCATGTGGGATACTGATTATCCTGCCGGTTGTTGAATATTGGTTATGTGGCTGGCTCTGCTGTAGGTATTTTCTCATGTAATCCTCAGAACAATCCTGGGAGTTTGGTATTAAAATGTCCTGGCTATGGTGAGAAAATGGAGCTAAAGTAACTAGCAGCAGAGCGGGAATCAAGTCCTGTTCTGACACTGAAGCCCATGCCTTGAAACTTCATTTTTTTAAATCACTAAGTATTTGTCAAGCACTATCCAGGGAGCACAGAGTCATACGTTTGTTGCCATTTTTACTGTTAAAGTTTTGGCCTTGAGAATGAAATGATAACAGATCATAAGCCACCTACCTTCTCCATTCCATGCAGCATGGAGCTGGGGTGATGTGTTTTTGTAAGGAAGTACTGACTGTTTGATAGTTATCTCTGTTCTCCTCTTCAGACTACCTCCTTTACTCAAAACCCTTTTATTTAGAAAATATGTGGCTACTTCTGCATTTGCTGGGAGGTGGATGGTCTTGTACTTTTTCCTCCACTGAATGGTAAGTTGTTTGATCATATTTATAAGCCTATATTCTGCAAACATTTATTAAATGCCAAGTAGGTATCAGATCTCTGCCCAGCCCAAAGGGTACTAATTAAATAATGGACACAGTCCCCAGTTTCAGGAATAGAGTGAGAAAAACTTCCAGAAAAAAACTTAAGGTGGCAATGATAATGCACAGCAATCCTTGTTAACATGGCCACATCATATCCAAAAGATCAGAATATGCTGTAATGCATTGTGTTTGTGGAAAGGGAAGAATCAAGCTAGTTCTACAAGAAATATAGCATTGAATAAGAAAAGCAGGAAGAACATCTGAGGCCCTTGGAATGGAAATACAAAACTGTTTCTTGTACAAGGAAATGGGGAGTTTCTGTCCATGGCCAGAGTATAGGAGTGCCATATTAGGGAGAGATGAGAGGTGAAGGTGGATAAGACCAGTGTGTGGAGTGTTTTCATCACAGCATGTGGACGTTGTCCTGTAGACCAGAGGAGGAGGAGGGCCTCCACTGATTTTTAATCAACAAATACCTCTGACAAGATATGCATTTCAAAACTATAAATGATAGTTTAGAGGAGTGTGGGAAGGGTAGAAATGCCAGGCTGCTAGAATAACCCAAGAGGGAGGGGATAATGGGGATGGAAAAAGAGGAGACATGTGTCAGAGGGACAAGATGACTAGGATCCCAGGTGAGGCTTGGATGAGAAAAAGGAAGAAGCACCCTAGGCAAAGAGAGGAATGGTGGCTGGTGAGAACATGGCTCAATGTCTTAGTGAAGGCACACATTTGGTCTATTATAAGACTATATGTATATATATATGACTATTATAAGACTATTGAGGTATCATGGGATAGTCAGTGAAAATGCCAAGCACGTCATTGGGGACCAGGTGAGATATCAATGCTAGAGATTAGGGTTGCCAGATTTAGCAAATCAATACTCAGTTCAACTTGAACGTTAGGTAAATAAAGAATCTCTTTTTAATATAAACATATCCCATGGAATATTTCAGATAATGAGTAATTTTTTAGTATAAATATGTCCCATATTTTGCATGGGAACTGTTGTTTATCTGGCATTCAAATTTAACTGGGTGTCCTGTATCTTATATTTGATGATCCCACTTGAGAGGTACCAAATTCAAGTGCCCTGTACCCACAGCCACAAGTCCCTACCCTGCCAATTAATAACAGAACCCATTATTAATGGGGATACGGGGCTTTTAAGACTAAACCTGGGATGTTCTCAGAGGAATTGGGGTGAGTTGGACTCCCTGGGATGAAAAGATGTTGTCTGAATGGAATTTAGAGACTCTTAGACCTTCTGTACCTTGGTGGATTGAGGGCCACACTGGGTCAGAGGTCTGTACCCTAGAGACCACTGTAATTCAATATCTCTAGGCTACCACTGTCACCTTGACTGTGCCCAAGAATTCCAACCTTTATTGGAACTGTCCTCTGGTTTGTATTTTTTCCTCTTGAAGAACATTTGCTGCTGATTTAGTCTTGTTTAAAATTCCATTCAGTTAAGATGTTCTGTTTTAATCTCTGTGTGACTCTTCTTCAGTCATTTCCTTTCTCCTCAGTTCAGTAGAATCTACCTCCTGGAGTTTGCTTATCAGCCCAATGTACACCACAGGCCTGGACTTTGTTCTGACATCTCTTTATATTTAATCCCAATGCTGTTTCTCTGCCAAGCAGATGTGTATTAAAATGTGCATAAGAAAAGAAGCAAGCTGGGCTTAGTTAGAAATTTCCTCAATTTGCATGCACTCCATTGGTATAAGAGCATTTTTCTTCTAGAAAACCCCACAACAAACATATGTTAATAGGTACTTAGAAGGATCAAGACAAATGTGTATTTAGCTGTTTCTGCCATCACCATTGTGGCCTCTTTGTCAGACACACAGAAACAATGATTGAGTATTCATGGACATGGAACGTACTGCAACTTTTTTCTTGCTTGTAGGATACCTTTTTTCACAAGGAAGGAGTGACTTGAACAGCCAACTTTGTCCAACTAGCTTTTTTTTCATATGGTATTATTAGGAATAACCTGGGTTTCCTACTTAGGTCTTTAGGTCTCATATATGTATTTAAAAACAGCTTATTTTTGATGTGTTAAAGGCTTCTAAGAGCCAAGTTTTCACTTACTAAGCTAAAGAAATACAATCACAGGGCTGAAATGCACAGAGAAAGGGAAAGTGAATATTGAGATACCTATAAAAGATTTTCTGAGTTCTATTTTCTGGACTGCCTATTTTAGATAAGATTATTAACAGATGTACCTTTCACTACCTTTTCCCCCTACAGGCATTAACCTCAGGGCCATTTGATGAGAAAGTTTTTTAAAAAATGGGACTAAAACAGCAACCGTGTGATGGGAAGGGGGGGGTCCCATATATCAGGCAGTCCTGTCCAGGAATGAGGGAACGAACTGGTCAGAACATGGTCAAATTCGAAGCAAGAAAACATAGGAGTAGGATGCAAGTAGGTGGCACAGAAAAGCCATCTGAGATCCACATTCTACTAGCATTTGCTCTGGGTCTTGTTTACGTTTGGCTGAGTATAGGCAGCTGGGAAGAGTCAAGATGCATAGGCAAATTCTTGCAGAGTCTGAGCCAGTGGCAGAAGTACTATCCCAATGGCATAACCTGAAGATAACTCAACCAGTCCCCAAATGTGAAACATGACATGCCATTTCTAGAATTTATTACTTCAGCTCTGAAGCAAATTAGGCATCTAAAGCTTAAAGAGAAGATGCAAATTACAAGGTTTGTGTTGGATGACATCTGCCCAGAAGGTGGGAAACCCGAGTTTTAGTTATGTAGAAAACCACTTTCTTGCTGATAATTAAGGTAACCAGTCTTTACTTTCGACAGCTAATTACATATATCTAAATGCTTTGGTGTCATCCAGTTGATGTCCCCAAGCCATCTGATATTTTTAAACTATCTTTTTATCTTTGGATATGTATAGAATTGGTATTCTTTATTACACTTGAACTTGTGGATCATGAAGCCTACTTATGTAATGGGTGTGAGTTGATTAATTAGGTTAAAGGCAGGGAACAAAGCTTTTGCTTAACTTTTATTCATCATGGCACAAGATAGAACTTTAAGAAACACCACTGAAAATTTTATCACCAACATGAAAATTAAGAGTAGCACGTTTTATAAAAAAAAAAAATTCTATAATACACTTTCCCTTCTGAAGTGAAAAAAAAAATTCTGAAAATACTGAAGCAAATTGCCACCTGCTGGTCAAAAGTGGTTTTGCAGTTGAAAAACCGAACAACTGTAGTACTGCAGAACATTTTACATTACACACACAATTATAGAAGAAAACGTTTCCTCAGCCTTTGGCACAATTAAGTACAAAGCTGTAGTTTTGTTCCTCCCCAAATATGATTAACTTTACAAGGAATTGCATGTAATTTGGTTAATACTGATTATGGGGCAAAGGGAAAAACCACATTCTGTAATTTGACTGTTCTATTTTGATTCTTAAACACTTAATAGTTGGATTCCAGTTTGTCGTTTTGAAAAATACATAAAATTATACATTATAAATATATATTATATATGGTCTATATAAAATTGAATTTGACCTAAAATGGGACGGACAACTTCTTAATCACTCCTTGTTAGGCACGGCCTTTCTCTCATTTGATTAACTGAATCCTTTCTGGACAGGTTCTAAAAATATATTTCATAATGTATCAAATTTAACACTTTCCTTAAAACTTATTCAATATGAAAAAGCATTCAGTGACTATAATTTTTGTACCTCACTACTATATAAAAATATGGCTTCTCATATTCTGTTTTGTTTTGTTAGTGTTTTCTTAGGCTTTGAAAGAAGGGCTGTCCTCAGTTAAAAGGTATGGCAAAAGCACAGAAACCCGCTTGTGCATGTTCTAGAACACTCTATAGAATCTCAACGCTTAGTATATCTCATGGTGTAATATAAGTGAAGTGACTTAAAATTGTTCCTTCTGTTTTCTCTCTGTGAATATATCATATTGATTATCATACATAGATTCGTTACAGAATATACAATGGTCAAAACTGAAGACACATAAATACAATTATTAAGCAATACCGAAGCAAGAGTTTGATCGTATACAGAGCCAACGTGGGCAGTTTGTCGATTGGATATTGGCAACTGTTTCGGTTTTTCCTAAGGCTGGCTATGCAATAGAATCGTTAAGATCAATGGAGAGGGTCTGAGTGCTCTGCATCTGTCAGTGGACTGAGTTTCTCTTGTGTTGCTTTTTAAAGTGTGAAAGAAGGAAAGGAAGTGTGTGTCAATTGTCCAGCACGACTTTCCTGGTGCGGGCTGGAGAGGGCATTCGGTTGGGCGGGCGGGCGGGCGGCTCGGCGGTCTGGGCTCATACCAGCGTTTCCGGGAGGGCGTCGGGGTTGTCGGCGGACAGGAGCTCCCAGATCTGCCACCGCTCTCGCTGCCAGTCGAGCCAGCTGGCTTCCCCCAAGTTTTGAGCGTCCTGCTGGCCGGCGCTAGCCTGGAGGGAGTAGGCGCTGCTGCGCTTGCTGTGCGCGGCGCGGGACTGCGGCTGAGCGGCCGGGCCTCCCTCGGGCGAGGCGGTTCCGGAGCCCGCCTCGGGCCTCTGGCGCCTCCACAAG